ATTCTAGTCTAGCATGGGTTTCACAAAACAGAACAACTCCTATGTATTTCAATATTAAAGTGAATTTTTAAATAACCATAGTGTATTATATGAGATTCCCAAGCTTGCCTCACTTTTACTGCCAACAAAGCAAGCAGAAAATCAAAGTCGGTACTCAGTAGTTCTGCCACTGTGATATTCAAGGGTCAAATGGTGCAAAAACTATTCTGATGGACAAGATCCTTAATTTTATAGCTGGAGCAGAAAATATAATGTTTTGTAAAACCTCATTTTCTACACATTTTCTACACATTCTACACATTTTCATCACATTAAAGCAGAAATATTAAAACAACTGAAGAATAGCAAGTTCATTTAAAATGCAAAATAAATATTTTTTACTTTTCAGGCGTATTGGTACTTTAAAAATATATCAGTCTACAAACTTTCAGTGCCACCTATTGGCCACCCGAGGCAACAAATGGAATTAACAGCAAAGAAACATATTTGATGACAAGTCAGAAAGGAGATCTCAAAGTCTTACAAATGCACAATGTCATTCTGCGCGGTTGCAAGTTAAATAGATTGCTTGATTCTAAAGATTCTTGTAACTCCGCTACTTATTAGTGAAAAACAGTAAAAATGAAATCAGTGTGTGCCTGTCCACAGCTCCAAGATTAGGAATTTAAATATTAAATTGTAAGCCTGAAGGATTTACAGTTGTGTGGACAGGACATCTAATCATTTAAAACCTGATATTTACGTGCACTTAGGAATTCAGGAAAAACAGATTGAAGTCATCAGGGTAGATATTTTCCAACTCAGAATCAATGTAATAAATACACAGGAATACAAAGAAAGTGTCACCAAAATCTCACATCCTGAAACTGCAAGCCCAACTGAAAAGTCCACTCACAAACCAAGTAAGTAAGGCAGTGATGATGATTATAGATACAAATATAAGAAGGTAGCAGTAACTGGATCTCTCTCTAGGGAGACTAGCTGATGTGGCATATATAAGAAGTAATAGTTTACATAAGTTTAAACAGAATTAAGTCAAGCCAACTGAAAACAGGTACAGGGAACCTGTGTCCCTCCCAATGTTGGTGGAATACAATTCCCATCAGCCCTAGCAAGTGTGACCAATGGCCAAAGGTGATGGGAGTTGTAGTTCAGCAACACCTAAAGAGCCACAGGTTCCCCATATCTGCTGTACAGAAAGATTATGTTCTTTCCATATTTGGAAATACCAGGTCTGGTGTTACATTTGCTTACAACAACCCACTAAGAAAAACAGAAACGTCATTGTAAGCTATTCAGTTTGGCAACACAAGAGAGTTTAGCATGATGCAGCTTTGCAGAAAACAAAAGATCATCAAGACAACTGGTATAAGCTTGACTTTAACAAATTTAGCCTCTAATACAGAACCCCCCTCTTTTTTAAAAAAAAAAAGCAGCATAGTCTTCTTGCTAATATTATGGGAGCTAGCAGCTCATTCTGCACACCACATAGATGAATCCATTGTCCGAGAAGTGCAACAAGCACTTCTAACACTTTCATGTATTGTGGACTGTCACCCTTTTCAATCTCACATGTGGAAGAATATTCCATGTATTTAAATATATTAAGAACTCATGCACACAAATACATAATTTTTTTTGACACATCAGTTCTTTTTCTCAAACTATTGATGAAGCTGATGAGAAAGAGCAATTTGCTATATGCAGAGTCTCTTCAGAACAGGCGTGCTTGCATCTTTCTGCCCAAATTTTCCAGGAACAGCAAAGTTCATCAAGCGATCATCAGCATTTAACCAGTTCTTTGTTTGCTGCTGGTGCAGAGACTTCTTCGCCACACATAAACTGTTCCTAAAATAGATATTAAAAAACAGGTGTCATACATTTTCTCAGCAGTCACTGCCACCCCTGTCTAAAATTCATGCTGAATTTGTGGTCTCCCAAACTGATTACAATTACATTTTGCAAGCAAATTATTTCGCCAAGTGCATGGATGTCTCAGAAGGTGAAAACTAAAGATAATGCGTGATACTTACAGTATCAGACATGCGGTTTCCTGTCTGTGTTTAACTCTGAGCAGAACATTGTGGCCAGCTGGTCCTCTGCTCCTCCAGACAACTGGATAATAGCCTGTAATAATTTTGTCTTTTGGACTGTCATCCAGATGTACCCTTCATGTGACTCTTGTCTTGTGCATGTGTGCTCACAGGTTGATAAGTGTCACACGAGCCTCATGCAATTAGACTTCCTCTTCTTCTACTTCCCACTGTAGCCCCCCTCCCGCAAAATCTGATCTCCCAACTGGTTAGAGCAGATTTTGGGTGTGCATGGGAAACTGCCGAGATGAGGAAATGAAGGGAAAGCCCTGCAGGCTCAAGTGTTAAATCAGTTCTGATGGCTGGTGAACACAATCAGATGTCACCATATGTCATCAGGTCCTAGGGCTTCCATACATTCGTGATTTCAAAGGCAGAATTGACTTTTGGGGGGAATTTCTGAAAGGTATGGCTTTTTCCTGGATCATGGCAAGTCAATTGGGGGCGGGGTGGAAATCACATTTTTGGGCGTTTTTGTGGAAAAAAATAAGCTGAACAATTTTGGGTCTTCCTTTAAAAAGTTCAACAACTTTCAGGGTGTCCTGGTTTTTACTTTTTGAAATATGGCAACCCTTTTAGATCCAGACCAACATAATTACACTTAGTTCCCACTGAAATTAACAGGACTTAAATGAGAACAGCAGTCTAGAACAGGGTGGATTTGATTTAAATCAAATTGATTTAAACCACGATTTAAATCACTAGTCAGTAAGACTTGATTCAAATCATTTTTTTTACAGAAAGACATTCCTGCTGGTATAATATTAATATTTACAACCAGATAAAGGTTTCATTTTTGGAATAATAAATTTTCAGAGTAGTTTTTACAGTTATATCAAAAATTACTGATTTGGTTATACTATTAGAAATACATAGACAGATAATTATGAAATTATTGTGAGGTTTAACAAGGTAGCTGTTTATATTTGGAGAACTTTTCTGCTGTACTTTATTGGAAGGAGAAAAATAATCATTTCCTTAATAACAATTTAAACGATAACATTATAGCATATGTATATCCATGTTTGTTAACTGATGTGGTTAAACATTAAAAAACAACCTTAAACAGAGTTTTAGCACACATGAAAAACTTAAAACAAATCCTTATTTCCTGATGAATAGCCTTTGGACTATAATGTAACTTAAATAGAAAACTATCTTTAGAAAGATTTTTCCCTCCAAAAGTATTTTATTTTAAAAATCCAATTTAAATCAAAAAGATCGATTTAATTTTTTTTAAAAATCCGATTTTTTTGATTCTTACTTTTAAATCATTGCTTTTTATCCACCCTGGTCTAGAACAAGCCAAACAGGAACAGAGAACACATACTGATAGTCATAGCATGAAACATGAAACCTTTGTTGCCTCAAAGCTTTAACTGTTCCTATAGCACAGTTTACTATAATTCTCCAACACTTTACATGAAGAACAAGAAAAAATTCATAAAGAAGTGTATAGGGAAAGGCCGTAGCTCACTGGTAGAGCATCTGCTTTGCATGCAAAAGGTCCCTGATTCAATCCCTGGCATGACAGAGACTCGCATCAGAAATTCAGGAGTGCCACAGCCAGTCACTGTTGACAATGAGCTAGATGGGCCATTAGTTTGGCTCAGGATAAGGCAGTTTCTTATGTACACATTTATGAGGACAAGCAACTCAGGTGCCCCAGCCGATTTCTCACCTTATCGTAGATGACTTTTACTATGAGTGAGCAGCTTGGACAGGTGGCTACATCTTCACCGTTCTCCAGATCCTCCTGCAATGACACACAAGTCTATCATCGCCTGGACTGGGCAAAGCAATAACCAGTCATTCTTGAAGGAGACGAGCACTTCCTTGTTTGTGATAAAGAGTAGAGTATCAGCACAATTCAACCCTCTTGTCAAAGGTTAGTTAGATCCAAGAGGCAGAGTAGAGAGCCATGTAGAAGAAAACAAAGTGTAGAAGCAGGAGTAATAATAATAATAATTTATTTACACCCTGCCCATCTGGCTGGGCTTCCCCAGCCACTCTAGGCGGCTTCCAACAAAATATTAAAATATTGTACAGTAATGCATCAAACATTAAAACCTTCCCTAAACAGGGCTGCCTTCGGATGTCTTCTAAAAGTCTGGTAGTTGTTGTTCTCTTTGACATCTGGTGGTAGGGCGTTCCAAGGAGCGGGTGCCACTACCGAGAAGGCCCTCTGCCAGGGTTCCTGTACCCTGTACACTCTCTGTTCCCTGTACACACTCAGAGGAAACAGCCCCGTCAATAACGTCAGATCCAAACCTTCTCCCTATGTATGAAGGCACTTCTGAATTCAGAATACACGCGTGCGCGCCCCACTCCGCTTACCCGCGTGATGAGGAACCGGTCCCCGCAAGGACACGGGTAGCTGTAGGTCTCCGTCTCCTCATCGAACTCGAAGTCCTCGATCTCCTCGTCGTGGAAAACAGACATGCCCCCAGACCGGATCTACCGTCTCCCCGATGAGCAGCTTTCTACTAACGCCGACCGGGTGCCGCTGGAAACGGAAAAACTACACGCCGCCATCTTTGTCCCGGGTTGACGCCACACAGGCTCGCTGCACCAATCGTCTGTCAGGAAGAAGAAAAAAAGCGAACGACGTCACTCTCGCGATGTCTTGAAAACCAATCGTAGATGGAGTGCACCCTAGGGCAACACATGGACGGAAGAAAAGGAAAAACCCTATATCGGCTGCACGTGAGATGGAAGCACCCGGTTACTGTTTCCGCCTTCGAGAGCGGAGTGACGTCGCTCTGCCCCTCTGCGTCTCTATGGTGAAGCCCTTCTACGCTTTCTTGAAGAGCGGGAAAGCGAGTTCCGATACTGGGCCGGAAGTGCCGAAATCATACCGGCGGACTTTGGCTTCCCGCCCCCTCTTCGCAAGATGCCGTTGTTGTGCAGGAGAGGAAGTGGCGGTGCGGGTGCCGGTTGCTCGTGACTGGGCCTATTAGGCTGAGGCCTTCGCTAGGCCGGGCGACGCGTCCTGAGGAGTCTGCGGGGGGAGTAAGTCGCCTCCCTTCGCCCTTTTGGACCCCGCGAGAGGCGGGTGAGTCTGAAAAGGGACCCGCAGGAGTAATGAGGCGGTGGCAACCCGCGTCCTGTCCCGCCGGAGCGAAGCCCCTTCAGGGGGACCTCCACTGGGCTTTATATTTAGGACGTGCTCATTTATTATATCGCATTTATATCCCACCATTTTTTTAACCCGAGGAGCTCGAGGTGGCGTACATGAGTCTCCCCGCCCCATAACCACCCCCCACAACAACCCCGTGAGGTAGGACAGAGCGAGTGAATTATTGGCCCAAGGTCACCCAGGAAGCTTGGTAGCCCAGTCAGAGTGTATGCCTGAAGGAGCGTCTCCACCCCCATCGTCCAGCCCAGACACTGAGGTCCAGCTCCGAGGGCCTTCTGGCGGTTCCCTCACTGCGAGAAGCAAAGCTACAGGGAACCAGACAGAGCGCCTTCTTGGTAGTAACACCCACCTTGTGGGACACCTTCCCATCAGATGTCAAAGATAAAACAACTACAGAACTTTTAGAAGACATCCGAAGGTAGCCCTGTATTGGGAAGTTTTTTATGTTTGTTGTTTTATTGTGTTTTTATATGTTCGGGAAGCCGCCCAGAATGGCTGGGGAAACCCAGTCAAATGGGCGGGGTATAAATAATAATAATAAATTTTCTGTTTGTCTGGAGGGTCAGTGGAAGACATCTGAAGGCAGCCCTGTATCAGGAAGCTTTTTTTAAAGTTTGTTGTCTCGCTGTGTTTTTATATTTATGTTGGAAGCTGCCCAGAAGGATTGCGGCAACCCGCTTGGATGGGTGGAGTATAAGCAGTACTTTCCCCCACTAGGAAAATACAGTCGTACCTTGGTTTGCGAACGTTCTAAAACGTTTTTGGAGGGGTGAAGGTCAGAATGACCAGTTGAGAGCCAGGCCAGAGCCAGGTTTAACCTCTAAAAGCCATTTCATAAACGCAAGCAGCTAAAACTATTTTTCTCTCTCTTGCCTTGCAAACAGCGAGCTTTGCAAACAGCAAGTAGATTCTGCAGGTGCAGCTAGCTTGCCCCTGCAGGAAGTTTGCCAGTTGAGGTTAAGCCATTTCTGAGAAACGACCCCTGACAAAGGCAAGTAGCAGGATGTTGCTGACCGCCAGGGTCCAGATATAACTCTTAGGTGTGAAGTGGCTAAACCACAAGTACATTTCTTGGAAGGAGGGGGTTCAGGGGCACTTCCTGGAACTAGTAAAGAGGTTAAGTAGATTATAAGCCAGTAGCGCCACCTAGTGTAATAGGCAACTTGGAACCGAAAGGACACACCAATTTATTAATTGGTTGAGCTTTAATGAATATGCATAAAGGGGAATGTTTGAGGGCTGGGTCAAGGGTTGAACCATTGTTTTGCCTGAGGGGATAAAAACTGTTTGCCCCTGGTGTTCGTGGCATTCTCTCATTTCGTCCTGAATGCACCCCTTTTTGCTTTTTGTCTGACAAAAACCAAATTGAATAAAACTTTTGTTTTAAAGAAATATTGCTGCCTGGATTTTTCCATTCTGGTCTGTATTCTGAAGTCTCTAACATTTCTGGTGCCTGCGTGACTCGGATAGGGACCTTAAGTCCTCAAAAGACCAGAAGGCAGCTCCCTTGTCCTTTTCTAGGCAGGACACAGGGGAAGAGCCAATAGGCCGCTTACTCCTGGCGCCACCGAGGCTTTTCTTCGGAGGAGGGCGAAGCCAATTTGACCCTTCTGCTGGATCCTGGAAGAGAAGGCAACGGATTGAAGGACCGAGGTTGACAGGACAGGCCAGAGTCCAGCCGGCTGGTGAGTACATGGAAAAGGGCCCTGGGGACAGAGGAAGACAGAGACCCCCTTGTAATTAAAAAGGGGAAGGGGCATCCTGATCACATGCCCAAGCGTGTTTGGTGGCAGTAAGGGAAGGATTGGCCCCTGATACCCACCCACGCTTAAGGATTTAAAGGAAGGCAGAAAGGAAAAAAGGGGGGGAACCGGGAGGCTAGTGTGTGTGGTACAGCGTCCAGTGAAAGAGGCACTTGGTGCGTGTGTGTGTGTAACCCAGGGTATTCCCCTGGGGTAGAACCAATAAATACTCCGGTTCCCAGCAGCGCGAGCTCGACTGGGCGAGGAAAATTGGGAACTGCATGTGTGTGTGTTTGTTGTTTGGGGACGCTGCACAAGGGCCATATTAAATATGGGAGGGAGTGGCTCAAAAGGTCTAATAACTCCCCTACAGTGCATGATGAACAATTTCAAGAAAGGATTCAGCGGAGACTATGGCGTTGTGATGACGCCAGAACGCTTACACACTCTGTGTGAACTGGACTGGACACAGCATTGAACTGGGAAGAAACATAGGGGCCCTAGTTGGGACAGGGCAACAAGGAGTATCTTTTGAGGCTGAGTAGTTATTTAGAGAAGAGTTTCAGACTCAGATTCAGATTTGGGAGCGATGAAGGGGATCGCTCCAGAGATCCCTTAGGTTATCCAAGTTAGTATACAGAACTAGAGTGCATACAAAGCTTTCAGATCTCTGGACCTCAATGAAGGCAAGAGTTCAGCCAGGCAGAGCTGGAGGGTTCTCTGCTGAGCTGTAAGTTTGATAGTAAGGCAAGCCTCCTAGTTTCTCCAAAGCCCATCACTGAACTGTGAAGCACATGAGCCTTGCAGACCTCCAACAGTTTTGATCCCTATAGTAACTACAGCTTGACCAGGGAGGGCAACCTAAATCCCAGAACTTAGCTAGGGAAGAGCTGGGTATCTATGTGACCAGCGGCAGTTTGGAACACATCAGGGAAACCACCAGTAGTGCCCTAGCTTCTCTGATGACCAGTGAGAGGTGGTCTATGGGTAGGAAATACGAAATGGTTTTAGACCTATAGCAGTTATAGTTGAGACAGGGAGGACAATTTAATTGGTGTCCTTAACCAGGCACCAGCTGGATGGCTCGGTGCTCAGGTGTGTCTCAGAGAACACTGCAGCAGACCCCTGGTTTGAGACTCAGGCAGAGAAACCTCAAGAGAAGACCTGCATCTTTGTGGCCACCACAGTTGACAAGTTAGTTGCCACAGAAAAAGGATGAGGGAACAGATGAAAAAAAAAAAAAACAAGCCGGACACCTGAAACTGACCACAGGGTGTGACCAGCCAAGGTCAGGTGTCTGCTGGGAGAACTACTAGAAGTTAAAAAAAAACAAAACACAAAAAGAAACTGCATAAAACTAAAAGAGGAAGAAGAGCTTTTTCCATTTAACTTGGATGAGTTTGTGAACATGGATGAAGTTCTAGAGGTTCACGTGATAATAGACAACCCCCCACCCCCTGGCTGAAGAAATATAAGACTGATCAATGCAAAATTAAGGAGCACAGGCAGGAAAACGCCTCAAGAAGCCCATTTACCAGGGATCCGAGGCAAAAGTCCTGGCCCCACCCCCATATGATCCAAGTGCCGTGGTGGCCCCTTGGGAGGACAGGGACAGCCCCATATCCCCAAAGCTCCACCGCCGCCCCGATATGCGGCCCAGGGAGCCGAAGCAGGAAAGGGGGGGGCTGCCAGACACCCCAGAAGTAGACGAGGCAGAGCCCAGTGACCAGATCCTGGACAAAATATACCCCAACCTTAAAGAATTGAGGGAAAGGATGAACAAATACAGAAGTTTGACCACTATGTATCGAAAAGGTGCAGAAGCTTATTGCAATGTTCGAGGCAAAGCATTGGGGGAGCACATAAAGCGGTTACAGCGCATGAGGCTACCTGGGCAGATTGTCAGCAATTGCTGAGCACTCTCTTTACCTCAGAGGAAAGGAGGAGAATTAATACACAGGCTTTAGAATTTCTTGGAACGCCTGATGGAGGCATACAGAATTTGGACCCCCTTTGACTCTGAACTCCCTGCACATGAGTTAATGGTAAATGCCTCCTTCATAGGACAATGTGCAAAGGACATTAGAACCAAAATCCAAAAACAGCCTGGGTTCCAGGGCATGTCCAGATCTCAGATCATGGCCATCGCCCAGAAGGTGTTTGAACAAAGAGGAGAGGCTGAGAAGAGGGAGAAAAAGCAGTGGAGGAAAGAAAAGGCAGCAGTGTTAGGCACAGCAATGGCTCACAGGCCAGGGACCCGAGGGGTCCGCCGTAGCCATTCAGAGACCCGCGGCCAAGGGGGAGGAAGATGCCTGTTCAGCAACAGCAAGGCCATAAGAATTACCCCTGTGAAAGGCTGCATGGAGCCAATTAGGAAGCTTGGTCAAAACACATGTATTACTGGCTGGCAGAAAAGCAGCTATGGAAAAATACACAGGCTGAAACAGGCTTTGCCCAACCCATTGAGAAGTCTCCAGGCGCAGTGGAAGCTTGTGAAGGAGACGTGGCTGATGCTCTAGAGAAGCCCTGGGTTGCGTGGCAGGGATTGAAGACGGCATGTCAGGCTGCAGTGGGAGCCAGACCAGAGGGGCTGTGGGACGCCCAGAAAGCCCAGAGGGGGCTAGAGGATGGCCAGAAAAAGTACCAAGCCCAGAGGGGGCTGAGGCTGTTTTGGGAAGCTGTTTCTACGCTTCAATAAATCTGTATGATGGACTGTGGGCTGGAGAGAGGCTGAGACCTGGGAAGAGGAAGGCAGTTACAAGTTGTTCCTCAGGCAGCAGAGCACCCAGAAGTGGGGGTGCAAGCCAGGCAAACCAGGCAAGCCATTCCAAGAGTTCTGAGGAGGCCAAAGTCTCCAAGAGTTATTTGTCCTCTGAGGTGAAGTCCAACAGCGAAAGGCATTGCCATGCAATTGGCAGCTGGATGCAAGGCTAACATCTATATTGATTCTAAATATGCCTTCTTAACCCTGCATGTGCATGGCGCCCTATGGAAAGAGCGGGGCTTGAGTGGAGCCCACGGGAAAGCTCTGAAATATGTTCCAGAAGTTGAGACGTTACTGGAAGCTGTATGGGCCCCCAAAGAGATTGCTGTAATGCACTGCAAAGGCCATGATAGAGGTTGGGACATGGTCACTAGAGGCAACCGGAAAGCAGATAATGCAGCTTGTGAGGCAGCTCTGAAACCTCCACCAGTGGTCACCACCGCCCTCAACCCAGCTACCCTGTTGCCGGTAGGAGAAGGTGAGGAGCAGACGCACGATTGCATTGAGGTTATGGACACAAGACTGGACCAGGAGAAGTGGCCAGAGGAAATCGATTGGCAGACAGAGTGGCCAAGGAAGCAGCCCGGGAACCGGCCCCCGCCTCAGTTATTGGAGCAGTGGTCCCAGAAGAGATCTTAAGCACTGCTGACAAACCAGATACTATGTGTCCACCCACATGAGGCCAGATGCCACAACCAAGCAGCTGGAGAAGTATGTCTATATAGCCAACCTTTATCAACTGGCAGCCCAGATTTCCAGGAAATGCCTGCTATGCCAAAAGAATAATCCCAGAACTCACTCCAGACGATGTGGAACCACGTTACACCCTTGATGAACAGCAGTGGACCAGCCAAGAAGGAGCAACGCTCCAGGAAGGACCAGACAGCCGTGTTTTTGTGCCCCAACATCTGGCCAGCACAATTGTAAAGAATTACCACGAGTCCACCCATTTGGGAGGCCCAGCTGCTAAAGCACACCTTGGGAGAATATTCTATCTCAACTAACTGCTGCTATAACTAACTGCTGCTATATCCCAAAACTGTGCCCTGTGCGCCAACCAAGAGACTGAGACTATCACCCTTTGAACTTCTATATGGCAGGCCAACCCCTTTCGTCCGAGACATCCCCGCCAGTTTGGGGCAGATGGGAGATCACATCACCCAAGAACAAGTGCAATCCCTGTGTTTGTTGTGTGTGTTTGCTTCCTTTCCAGGTATTCCCTCGAGCGTACACCTGCAGTCCCGCGGCAGTCTCGCTGAGCCGGTTCACCAGTTCCTCTGGGTGACAGCGTCTGGCGCCCCCTCATCCCCAACTGCAGTGAAAGTAGCCGAGGTGATCCTCTGGGTACATCACACGCATCTGAAGAAGGGTGTCTGGACTTGCAAGAGAAATCCTGCTGACCCTCTGAAGTTGATCATCACCTTGTGTCTGACGCTACCAGGGAAAAAGCGTTAGGCCACGGGCAACGAGATCCTGCGACTACTCATCACAAGGACAATCACAAAGACTTTCTCTTTTCTCTCTTATTTTCTTTATTGACTTGCTCTATGTCTTATTGCCCTGACCCTATCGAACCATACCAACCCTATTGGCCTGCTGACCTCTGCCGGTGGTAAGAGACGGCATACTCGTAGGCTCTTGGGAACGAGGGTTCAATAGGGCGGCCGCAGTACAGCATCCCACTCTCCCACTGTGGCTCTTTATTCACTGCATTGCCCAGCGCACTTGGATGTGGCTCCTCCGGGGAGCTGCAGGATCGGTCGAAATCTATCGAGTTCTAGACCGCTCTTGGGGTTGTGGGAGAATAGCCTGCTGGTTGTAGGGTAGAGCACTGTACCAACCCCATTTGATAAACCAGGCCCAAATCTTACTCCAGGTGTTGCATGGGGAGGGTGTCTGAATCAGGTGCACACTAAAATTACTGAACAGGTGCCTGTGGGTTCTGCAGCCCCACCTGTGGTTGTCGTGGTGGCTCAAGCCTCCCAAAATCCCAGAATACTACCTGAACTACTGGGCCTGGTAACTCCACACCTAATACCCTTGAATGTGGCAGGGTATTCTTGTGGCTGCATAAGAGTTGCCACCCAGTAGACAGACAGGGCACCTAGTTCCGGAAGAATTGGATGGGAGGGGTGCCCGCGGGCAGGGTCCCCAACGTAGAAACTTGCTCTCCAGCAAATTTAGAGGCACCACTAGGACTTTTGGTATTGGGACCAGAACCCCTTGATATAGTCACCCCGTGTGTCAGGCCGTTGCAGGGGTGGATATATTCTTGTGGGTGCATGGTGATATATGAAGAGGGGGAAGCCCCTTTTGGGTATAATCTCTTGAGGAGACAACACGAGGGCCCAGTCCACCCACAAGGGATTATAGGGAAATTGCTCCATATAGTGGGTGCCTCAGCAAAAAGGTGGAGTGTCACCCCTGAGGCCCAGCGAATAATTGAATACGAATATCAGTGGGCCCTTCAGCAGTAAAAGAACATTAGGAATGAACCCCGAGTATTGGTGGGAGGAACTATGGAAATATTGGGGTTGGTGGGTAGGCGTGGTATGTACTGCCCTACTTCTTTGGATGCTCCTGTATTTTTGCTGGCATTGGCCAAAGCGGGAAAGAGTTCCCTGGTCTCCCCTGCCAACTTTTCCCGTCTAATGACTGAGTGGGGCGTCCATAACCCCTACACTAGGTGTTTACAAGTGGCTGAAGTGGTAGCCCATTCTGCCAATAAGTCACCCCAACAGATGCCACGAGTGGACTACCACTTCTCCCACTGCCACTTAACCGTTCCGCCATTCACAAACGAGCATTGGTCAATGCAGCTACATGTACGCATATCCTGGCTCTCTATGATGTGGTACCTATAGGTCCATCAAGCGAAAATGGAGAACCGTGACCGGTCAGCATTTTCGTGATGGAAAGGGGGGAATGGAGGGGTGAAGGTCAGAATGACCAGTTGAGAGCCAGGCCAGAGCCAGGTTTAACCTCTAAAAGCCATTTCATAAACGCAAGCAGCTAAAACTATTTTTCTCTCTCTTGCCTTGCAAACAGCGAGCTTTGCAAACAGCAAGTAGATTCTGCAGGTGCAGCTAGCTTGCCCCTGCAGGAAGTTTGCCAGTTGAGGTTAAGCCATTTCTGAGAAACGACCCCTGACAAAGGCAAGTAGCAGGATGTTGCTGACCGCCAGGGTCCAGATATAACTCTTAGGTGTGAAGTGGCTAAACCACAAGTACATTTCTTGGAAGGAGGGGGTTCAGGGGCACTTCCTGGAACTAGTAAAGAGGTTAAGTAGATTATAAGCCAGTAGCGCCACCTAGTGTAATAGGCAACTTGGAACCGAAAGGACACACCAATTTATTAATTGGTTGAGCTTTAATGAATATGCATAAAGGGGAATGTTTGAGGGCTGGGTCAAGGGTTGAACCATTGTTTTGCCTGAGGAGATAAAAACTGTTTGCCCCTGGTGTTCGTGGGCATTCTCTCATTTCGTCCTGAATGCACCCCTTTTTGCTTTTTGTCTGACAAAAACCAAATTGAATAAAACTTTTGTTTTAAAGAAATATTGCTGCCTGGATTTTTCCATTCTGGTCTGTATTCTGAAGTCTCTAACATTTCGGCTCCTGAACGCCACAAACCTGGAAGTGACTGTTCTGGTTTGCAAAATATTTTTGGATGTCCGACAGGACTTCAGCTGCTTCCTATTGGCCGCACATTGGTTTCCAAACGTTTCAGAAGTTGAACGGACTTCTGGAATGGATTCCGTTCAACTTCCAAGATATGACTGTAGGTGCCAGTACTCACCATGAAGTTGTTACAGTAAGTGCCACACTTTTTAACAACAGCAACAAAGAGAGGTGTCAGTACTGCGTAACCTTAGGTAAAGGTACCCCTGCCCGTACGGGCCAGTCTTGACAGACTCTAGGGTTGTGCGCCCATCTCACTCAAGAGGCTGGGGCCAGCGCTGTCCGGAGACACTTCCGGGTCACGTGGCCAGCGTGACATCGCTGCTCTGGCGAGCCAGAGCCGCACACGGAAACGCCGTTTACCTTCCTGCTAGTAAGCGGTCCCTATTTATCTACTTGCACCCGGGGGTGCTTTCGAACTGCTAGGTTGGCAGGCGCTGGGACCGAGCAACGGGAGCGCACCCAGCCGTGGGGATTCGAACCGCCGACCTTTCGATCGGCAAGCTCTAGGCGCTGAGGCTTTTACCCACAGCGCCACCCGCGTCCCTTGAGTACGCCCCTGAAAAAAAGCACTGAGTACAGTATAAATAATAAAATATTGTTATTAGAATTAGAATTTGAATCCTGGTCTCTCCCAGGTCCCGGTCAGACATTAACCACTACACTGCCACTGGCTCTTTCAGACAAAGCTTTCCTTCCACCCACACTGACACAAGAAGAACCCTGCTGTGTCAATCTGTAGGTCAATCCATCTGTTTGTTTGTTTGTTTACATGATTTTTTTACCCCTTTCCTCCCATCCCCAATTTATCCTCACAACAACCCTGTGAGGTTGGCTAGGCAGAAAGATAGTTTATGAAGGGGATAGCTGAGTGGGGATTTGAACCTGGTTCTAAGTGCTCCATACTGGCTCTCCCATCTAGTCCATCATTCTTCTTGCCACAGTAGCCAATCAGATCCTGAAGGCAATTGGTGCCCTGCTTCTGGCCACTCCTGCCAAAGCTGGTTTTTCATATACAGTACCCCCACTCCCTGTTCAAAAAATCACTTTGTGCTTGTAAAGTATGGCATTGTGAATAGCTTTTATTGTGTTTGCCTTCAGGAAAACTTTGAGGGGTGAGTCAGTATTGGATGAAGAGCCTCTTTTATCTCTCTCAGTAAGAGTGATTTGTCCTCCAGTGGGCTGTAAACTGAAAATTGGAACTGCAGGTTGGTTAAGTTTAAGTAGTTCTTGCCTACATTTCAGCCTGATGGCAGATCATTTTCAGTGTATTGTCAGTCATAGTTATTAATGAGCCATTTAAGGTGTCAAAATTAGTCCAAACATAAGAGATACATGAGTGCTGTGGTATCTGAAATAAGGCGCATCTGTTCAGTTCAAAGTTTGGTGTTAAGGCTGCACTCATTCTCTCTCTCTCTCTCTCTCTCTCTCTCTCTCTTTCACTCTCTCAGTCTCTCTCTCTCTCTCTCTCTCTCTCTCTCTCTCTCGTGTGTGTGTATAAACTCAGGGAAGTACTTCTGAGTAGATGTACATAGGATTGGGCTGAAAAATAGCTTTGTGGAAAGTTGTAGCCTGAAAACTAAACTGAGCACACCCAACATAGAATCAGAACATTATTATTTTTAAAAAATAAACACACAGCTCACCTAGTCAGTTGTAGTTCTCAAATGCATCTGTACCAGAAAGGTTCTGACTGTCTCTGGAAAATGTTTAGGCTCTGATCATATCTTACCTTGACATCTGGCAGGTTTATTTTCCAATATATTTGTTTCCTATTATTTAAAATAGACCTCTCAAGTGACTTCATGTGGCAAACTCTCTCTTGCATCTGTCACATTTTGATGCAAACAAGTAGGGCTTTGCAAAACTGAAAATAGTACAAAAGATGGCTGTCTGCAACCAAAACACAGTCATTGAGATGTGTTACTTTCAGCCTGCAATCCTGTAGAAATTTCTTTATGAGTAAGCTCCATTGAAATCAGTAGGGTCTATCCTGAGTAAAGATACTTAGTGTTGAGCAATATGTACACTACATTCCCACAAGTGAAACAAATATTTTTCTATGTATGTGTTCATAGTACATTGTTCATTTGCTTTCTCTGATGCCCAGGACAGATCTAATGCTCACAATATGCTATCTATGGTTAGGAGATTTTTAGCATGTATTGGAATCATGAGTATCTTATCCCTCCTTTTGCATGGGTTTGCCCCCCCCTTCCTTTTTTAGTCTCCATGATGCATCACTGTTCAAGATAACCATGCTCAGAACACAGTTGGTATAGTTGTAATGTTGCACCAAGGAAAGGAAGATTTATTCATGAGATGAAAGGAGGGCGGTGAGGCAAGAAATACAGTGGTGCCCCGCAAGACGAATGCCTCGCAAGACGGAAAACCCGCTAGACGAAAGGGTTTTCCGTTTGCGATGCGCTTTGCAAGACGAATTTTCCTATGGGCTTGCTTCGCAAGACGAAAATGTCTTGCGAGTCTCGCCATTTCCCCCCCGCTTCCCCCCTTTTTCTAAGCCGCTAATAGCCTTTTAGCAGCTAAGCCGCTAAGCCTTTAATAGCCGCTAAACCGCTAATAGCGCTAATCCGCTTAGCCGCTAATGGGGTTGCTTCGCAAGACGAAAAAACCGCTAGACGAAGAGAATCGCGGAACGGATTCTTTTCGTCTTGCGAGGCACCACTGTATATGGATCCCAGTCAACTCCATTGTTGTAGTCATGATTTTGAGATTAACACCATTACATCAGTATTGAGCCTGAGCACAGATGTTGGATTCTTCTTTGACAGTGTAATCCTATACATGTCTACATAGGAGTAAGTCAATGGAATTTAGAATTGTAGAATCCTAGAGTTGAAAGGGACCCTGATGATTATCTAGTCCAACCCCCTGTAATGCAGGAATATGCAGTTGTTCCTTGGGGATTGAACCTGTAACCTTGGTGTTAGCAGCACCATACTCAACCAACTGAGCAATCCTCTCAAGAAAATGTTTATGGAACTGCAACCTGAATTACCTATTAGTTGAAACTAGTTTCACATATCGTAAAATCCAGGCAGAAGAATAGGATTATTCTTAGAAAATGAATACTGTTGTTTTATATGATCTCCTGATCATTCTTGCAAATGTATAGCAAGATTGTAATGATTTTAGCTAACTTGCGGAGCCAGTATCTTTTGTCCCTGCTTATTTAATTTAGCATCCACATGTGCCCAGAAGTGGTGATAAATGTATATACATCCCCACCTGTGTTTGAATATATCTGTAACAAAGTGTTGTGAAAGCTGCCAGCATTCATGGGAGAGATAGAGAGAGGAAAATGTGGGGGAGAACTGAACAGGTTTGTTTGTTTTATTAGCCAAATGTGTTGACATTATAAGAGAGCTCTGGAGATTTGATGACTTTAAGGAGTCAAGGAGTCAACCACTAAGCTATTCCCAATGACATAATGAGATTAATACATGTGTATATCAAAGTTCACAGGAATGGAGCTAAATCATACAGAAGAGAAACTTCATCTTGGTTCTTGAAGTGGCTGGTTGTTCTAAACTACCTCCTTAATGTCATGGAAAGAAACATTTGGGATTTTGGGGGGGTATTGCTTCTTAAAGTCAGAGTGGTTAGCCACCAGCAGATGTCACTAGTTGACACAAAAAGTGTTGTACAGCATGTTGCAGCTGTAAAGGCCTATACAAACTATTGCTGTGCACGTAACACACTTGAAAATAGACAACAAAAAGAGTGGAATATTAAATGCAGTAGTTGTGTCTGTGTTATAAAGCTGTGAGTTGAAACACTATACAAATGTTGTGATCTTAAGCATGTTAGCTTTGCACTAAGTGCTATTGAACTTAGTGGAACTTTTCTAAAAGTAAAGAGAATTGAGTCCTTAACATCTGAGGGGTCGTTTTGGGGAAGGCTGTACCAAAAAGACCATAAAAGAAGCTATAGCTGGTTTTTTGTTTCTTTGTCTTTTAGCATAATACAAGTTAGACTACACAACCTACTTAAGAGCCAGGACTATTTTCTAGTTCATACATTTATTACATTGTGTGTGCACTTATTAATTTTCTTGGAGTACCTTCTGAGAAGACCCTTGCTTATTACATGGCCAGCAGATTATCATCTGGTGACAACCCAGAAGTAGGCCTTCTTGGTGTTAGCACTCATGAATGCCCTTCCTCAGATAATTTGCAAGGCCGAAACCATAATGACTTTTAAACAAATCTTTAAAGGATCATCACTGGCTCCCAGTACATTTCTAAGCACAATTCAAAGTGTTGGTACTGACCTTTAAATCCCTAAACGGCCTTGGCTCAGGACACCTGAAGGAGCGTCTCCACCCCTATCATTCAGTCTGGACACTGAGGTCCACTTCCAAGGGTTTTCTGGAGGTTCCCTCACTGCGGGAAGTAAAGTTACCTGGAACCAGGCAGAGGGCCTTCTCGGCGGTAGCACCCTCCCTGTGGAACGCCCTCCTATCAGATGTCAAGGAGATAAAGAACTACACTTTTAGAAGACATCTGAAGGCAGCCCTGTTTAGGGAAGTTTTTAATGTTTGACATTTTATTATTTTTGTATTTTGCTGGAAGCCGCCCAGAGCGGCTGAGGATGCCCAGCCAGATGGGTGGCATAGAAATATATAGTAAAAGTAACAATGATGTATAATCTTTAAAAATGAAAAAGAAAAATTGAGTTCTCCATTAGTACCTGTACTATGAATCCTCAAGGACTTGGATTTTGTTTTAGTAAGAGGTGGAATACTGGGCTTGATTCATCTCCATGTGGTAGTTCTTGTGTGCTTCTCTATTGAATTAGCCCCATCTGCTCAGGTGGTGGCTCTGAAAACACACTGGGTTTAGCATGCATCGCTCAGTGTTTTATGATGAAAGCATACACGCTAGATATGCATTTTCATGTGTGGAATCTTTGTGCCGAGAACCCAAATCCGAGCTATATGATGCTTCCTAAAATAACTCTTTGTATCAGTTGTGAGAACCTGGAGCCCAGATAATGCATTTACACCCCCCCTCCAATTTCACAGCCCTCGGGAGGTTGTGGCACAGAGATGAAGAGAGAGATGGGATTGCATTGAAGGGTGCACTTAAAGTTATGTTAGCCTAAGATGTTCGGTTTAATGATTTTAAAAGATATGTAAATAAAAGGATAGTTGCCATTCAGGAGCCTCCATCTCCTCAGAAAGGGTGACATGAAGCAGTGGTTGCCAGCATTTAATTGGGTTTGCCTCTGTGTTCAATAATATTCAGTGGTATTACTCCCTGGCCTGTCCTCTCCCAGTTCTTGTGTTCCATTGCACACACACAAACACACTGGCTTGTAGTACATCAACACATTCCCTAAAGGGCATTTGTTAACTTGGAGAGACAAATACAGTAATGAGAAGAATCTTGTTTTCTGGTTAGGTGTCTTTGACTGAAGCAGCTGTAGTCTGAGAGAGAGATGTGTTTATGATGTGAGTGCCTGTTTCATGGAAAGTTTCTGTGATGTCAGCACTTGTCCAGGAATGAGCTCATTTCACTTAAATCACCAAGCCAGCAACATACTTTTTGTGATAGGTAACTCCTCTTTTAAATATTTGGAAAAGATGTTTTTTTCTCTCCTTAGAATTGTACAGGTCTGCTGTTTGACACTATTGTTGATACTTGCTAATTGAACAAGTATTTTAGGAAACTGAAAACTACAATTGTTAACTGTGCTGTTTTTTTTAAATTGCAGGTGCTTATAAGACTAGAGAACGCTATGGTCTGTGCTGCTGTTTTTGCTATTCCTCCGTTGCTGAGAAGTACTGCTGGAGTTCTTCCCATTTGTTCTTCTATCTTACATCTGAAACATGCGGCGCTATGTTATTGCACAGTAAATGGGTAAGATGTTTGTGTCCTCTAAATACTAAAATACATGTTGAGAGAAATGGAAATATCCCCATAATACATTTATTACATTTCTTTAAATTTATATGTCACTTTTAATTTCAAAAAGCCGTGAGGGGTTCGCAACTCACACGTGTCATTTACATAACAGAGCAAAATTAAACAAAAAAAATATATTCACCCTTAAAACAGCAGCATATGGGAAACAATCCCATAGAGTCTTCTACACGTCAATTTTTCCAGAACCTAATTGGTGAAAACCTTGAGAAAGCTTGAAGGGATACATTTTTGACACAGTGAAACTGGAGTAAATATTATGACTGATGGACCTCCAAAGGCTGTGAAACACAGAGGATGCTGCAGCCAAGAAGGCCCTCAACTGAGTTGCTACCTCTTGGGGCTCAGCTGGCAGTGGCACCCCAGAGGGGTTTTCTTCCAAAGATCTCATTGGCTGGGCTGGCACAAGGCAGGAGATGAATATTTGGGTCATTTAGGGCTTTAAAAGCTCATGGCAACAAAACGGGCTTAAAAGTGAACAGGCAGGCAGTGCAGATTGTGGAGAATAGGTGTTACGGTGACTCTGAAATGGCATGCTGCTCAGTAATCAGTTGGCGGCCTTCGACACCAGTTGCCGTTTCCAAGCCATTTTCAAAGGCAGCCATGTGTAGAGCACATTGCTGTAATCCAGGCTTGAGGTTATCAGGGCGTGGATCACCGTAACAAGGTCCAGGAATGGTCGTAGCTGCTGAATCATCTGCAGCTCAAAAAAGTGTATTTGGAACTTCAATGATGGATCTCGGAGTATGCACTCTTGCTTCAGGCACCCCATAACAGTTTGTCCAACCACCTCCTAGATTCAGGAGCTGCCCACCAACAGTACCTCCTCTGTCTTGTCAGTTTATTGGTCCTCAGTCATCCCGTTATTGTTTCCAGATACTCATTAAGTACCTGGAAAGAAATCCCTGGATAAACTCTCCTATCATCTTCATACGGATGTTGAAGATTAGAAGATTTTATGGATGATAAGTCTATGAACCGTGATAACTAAATGGAAGCTCCATATTCAGACGCTCTATACCAGGGGTCAGCAAACCTTTTCAGCAGGGGGCTGCTCCATTGTCCCTCAGAACTTGTGGGGGGCCCAGAATATATTTTTTTTGGGGGGGGAATGAACGAATTCCTACGCCCCACAAATAACCCAGAGATGCATTTTAAATAAAAGCACACATTCTGCTCATGTAAAAACACCAGGCAGGCCCACAAATAACCCAGAGATGCATGTTAAATAAAAGGACAAATTCTACTCATGTAAAAACACGCTGATTCATGGATCATCCGTGGGCTGGATTTAGAAGGCGACGGCCGGATCCGGCCCCCAGGCCTTTGTTTGCCTACCCATGCTCTAGGATATTAGATCCTAGGCACAAAATGCCCATTGCCTATATATTTGTTGACTTCCAAAGGCATAATGATGGTTACTGTTGGAAACAGTGCTGGATTTGACGGACTTTGTCTCTTCTGGCAGCTCAGTTCTGTTCTTGGCCTTAGAGTTTTGCTGCTAGTGACTAGCGACAACTGAATCCTAACTTTAAACAGGTCTTCAGTGAGCTTTTTTATTTAAGCTATACAATAAAAATGGGTAATGATGGTCTTAATTTGTCTTTCATTCAAAGCAACATGAAATCAAAAAGAAAGCCAGATCATCTGGAGAGAACAGCACATGACTTTCGACAGGAGGTTGGTATCATATAGCCTGAAATCTACCATGTGCCAAAGAACTTGGATAAGTTTGGTGGAGACTTGGCCCTTCTGTTTAGGGAAGTTTTTAATATTTAATGCTGTATTGTTTTTAACACTTGATTGGGAGCTGCCCAGAGTGGCTGGGGAAACTCAGCCAGATGGGCGGGGTATAAATAAATAAATAAATGATGATGATGATGATGATGATGATTCTCCTCTCTGTGATTCTGTTTCATTTATCATCTTTTTGTGATTACACGGTTTCAAGATGGCTTGTTTCTAACAAGCAGTAGTCAACATTAACACAGTTTGTCAGGTCAGACAAAACAACAAGCTGCGGTTAAGGAAAAATGGAAGCAAAATCTCCCAGACTCCTCATGACTGTGCTGGAGGAGTATGAAGGGAAATGAGGGACAGTCCTATTCTGCTTCTTAGCTCTAGCTCAAACCTGTTTCCCATAACAACTTTGCATGCAGGATCTAGTCATGGCTATAATATTTATGTCCGCAGATTAGGTCACAGGTTAATGTGAACAGGGTAAGGCTAGTCATTTCCTACCCTGGGGCTTCACTGGGGCTAGCATGAAAGCCGTAAATGATTTAACTAGCGTGACTGTTATTTCGTTGCTGTTGTTTGACATTGTCTATTAAAGTTATAAAGAAAAAAGTGTGTTAGCTTTTAACTGGCAAGTGTCCTGTTGTTTTACTGGACAGTAGACATGTTCAAATATTTTTTTAGGGAGAAATTCATTTCCTGCCATGTGTTTCAAATTAAAATGTAGCTTGGTTACATTTCATTTGTTAGACGTCAATCCTGCTGGATGGGAAATGACAGAGTCATAGCTGGAATTTGATGAGATTATGGTGTTGGTGGTTTTGTTTTGTTTTTTACATCTCTGTACTTTTGGACCTGCATGAGTCATCTGAAGAAACTGGCTTTTCAGAATATTAAAGTATCTGTAGTGAGCACAATAATTCCAAATAGTAGTTTAGAGTGTGCAGGCTGTAAAAGTCAGGAAAACGCAGCAGAGTTAAGGCATGAGCTAGACTGAGGCCTTTGGAGAGCCATGGTATAGTGGTTAGTGTTTGACTAAGACTTGGGTTTAAAGCCCCATTCAGCCATGAAGCTTGCTGGCTGACCTTGGATCAGTCACTGGCCCAGTTTGCACACAAATTTAAACCATAGTTAGAAATAAAGTATGGTTAAATGAACACAAGTGCTTTACTGCACCCCTTCTCCTGACTGTGTCACATGGGGGAAGAAACAAGGTGGAGTCAAGCAAACCTAGGTTTGTCAGGGCTTGTGGTTGGTACAAGAGCCTGGGCTCAGACATTACAGTACAAGAAGCCAGGCTCCGGTTTGTTTAAGTGGCACAATCAGGAGCAGCAGTGGTGCAAAGCCCAATGGTTGGATGTTACATGAAAAACAGCTCAGCATTTCTCAGCATAAGCTACTTCATTGTGTTGCTATGAAGTTAAAATGGGAGAGGGGGGAACTTGCCCAGAACTTATTGGAGGAAGGCAGAGGGCCTTCTCAGTAGTGGCCCCCGCCCTGTGGAACACCCTCCCATCAGATGTCAAGGAAATAAACAACTATCTGACATTTGGAAGACATCTGAAGGCAGTCCTGTTTAGGGAAGTTTTTAATCTTCGATGTTTTATCATGTTTTTAATATTCTGTTGGGAGCCGCCCAGAGTGGCTGGGGAAACCCAGCCAGATGGGTGGGGTATAAATAATAAATTATTATTATTATAAATAAACTTAAAATAAATTCCCACTACTGTTCCCAATTAGACCATCAACAAACTCGGTTTCCTATCCATAGAAGAACACAGTGATGCAGAGATCTTAAATTCATAGAGCCTCTCTCCCCCCCCCCCCCCCAGTTTATGGGATTTAGCGAGAGAAAGGCATCAGAATGAAATTCCTAATCCTTGGGAATAAAAGAATTGCAAGGCTACAATCCTAAACGCTTCCTGGGAAATAAGCCCCACTGTACATAGTGAGACTTACTTCTGCATTAGGATGCTGAGGGTTGTTCTGTAGATGTTTGAGTCATTGTAGAATGGGGGGTAGGACTGAGACTCCTAGTTGTCTCATTTCAATATTGGTGATGGATGACTGGAAGGAGGTTTCAGCACATGGGATATTCTTACTATTGAAAATGTTGAGATTCTTTCTTGAAACAGTAGTGGTGGTATTGGTAACAGTGATTTTTGTCTTTTAGATCATTTCCAAAGCAAAAGTGTGTGGAATCACCAGCGAATCTGAAACAGTTAAACGGCTCCGTCTGGCAGTCACAGATAAAGAATTTACTTTTAAAGCAGGACAATGGTAAAGTTCCTTCTTCTGGATTTATTAAACAAGAGGGGAAACTTTTGGGGGCAAGCCTAATTTTTCGAGACATTTTTGCAAATTGATCCAGGCAATCAGCTTCTGTGGTATTCACAGAGACATGGGCTTTTCCTCTTCTCAGCTTTCTATGAAACAGCTGGTAAAAGTGGTTTGGGAATTTGTCCAAATTTTATCTCCATGGAAAACATGGCCCTGCTTATCAAATAGAATAAACCTCAATTATAACTCTTTTTGCATCGCCCCAATTTGCCGCTTTGTGCTACATTTTTTCCTGAGAGAGCTGTATCTTAAGAATTCCAAAAGCGCACTCCACATATAAATCTCATGGGCGACAGAGTGCTTTCTGTGCGTGTTGCAAATGATTTTAGTTCATATCACCACGTGTTGCAGGAGAAACCTCTTTTGAAGACTTTCAAAAGCAGGTTGCATTACAGCATGTGGGAAGCCGCTGCTCAAAGAATGAGAAAGTCAGCAGTTTCACAGGGGATGCCCTCATAGAATCATAGAGTTGGAAAGCACCCAGGGGTCATCTAGTCCAACCTCTCGCAATGCAAGAATCGGCGAAAGCACCCATGACAGGTGGGCATCCAACCTCTCCTTAAAATCCTCCAAGGAAGGAGAGTCCACCACCTCTCGTGGGAGTCTGTTCCACTGCTGAACAGCTCTTACTGTCAGAAAGTTTTTCCGAATGTTTATTCCAAATCTCCTTTCTTGTAACTTGAATTCGTTGGTTCATGTCCTACCCTCAAGAGCAGGAGAAAACAAGCGTGTTCCCTTTTCCATGTGACAGCCCTTAAGCTAGTTGAAGGTTGCTATCATACCTCCTCTCAGTCTCCTCTTTTCCAGGCTAAACATACCCAGCTCCCTCAACCGTTCTTCATAAGGCTTAGTTTCCAGACCCTTGATCATCTTGGTTGCCCTCCTCTGCACATGTTCCAGCTTGTCAACATCCTTTTTAAATTGTGGTGCCCAGAGTTGGACACAGTATTCCAGGTGTGGTCTGACCAAGAGCTCTTTGGATCCTGGGCACAGCTGGATCTAAAGATATGCTTCTGCACAGGGCTTTACACACACTGCACACTAGAGCATCGCACAAGAGAAGTGAAACTGAATCCAAATACATTGGTCCACATTTATAAGAACTTCCAAAACTTCATGTTCAAGTGGAAGCATACAAACCATCCTGGACTCTTACTGTAGTTTTGTGCAAGCTGTTTTGAAAAATCTTGTTAGAAAAGGACCAATGATTATTTTCCTTCTTCTCACGTTTCCTCGGATCCAATTCGCAATTTTGGTCTCCTTATTGAACAGTGCACATTAGGATTAGTTGTTTGGGGTGTATTGTGCGATGCTTTCAGGATCTGTGAGTTTTTTCTCTGGACAATTCATTTGACACTTTGTAGGCTGAATTGGATTCTGTGCTTGTCAGGTTGGGGCGTTCCTGCCCTCCCAGCCCCCTTTTTTCTTTATTTTTGTTGCTGCATCTGGTGAACAGGTTTCATAGGAATCGAACTTTATCTGATAGAATGCTAATAGCATGAGCAACTAGTTCAGTGTTAATTTTGCAGCCTTTTACATTTAGAACAAGAAAACAAGATGTTGATTGCAATAATTCATGTTTGTGGAGCAATTTGCAGCAGCCTTTGCACATGTGCACAGATGCATACTAAATTTGTGCTTGCTGGTTCTTGGAAAAACATTTACCCTTCAAAAATGTTTTGGTAATTATCATACTGAAAACTGGATTCTGTAATTATAATTACTCTTTTCATTATCTTCCTTTTAAAGTATTCTAATTCTGTTTGGCATGCTAACTTTCTGCCAGTGCAGCCCATAAGTGTGATTGTGTTCTAATGAGAGATACTAAGAACTAGGCCACGAGAGAAAAGGTTAATCGGCCTACTTTTGTAATGAAGTGGCAGGGTTTCTCTTCGTAATGCAAACATGCACAACTCCTTTGCATAATATAAAAGTCACATAGCCGCTTCCAAGGAGCTAGTATTTTGTTCAGGATATGCCTACCGTATTTTTTGCTCTATAAGACTCACTTTTTCCCTCCTAAAAAGTAAGGGGAAATGTGTGTGCGTCTTATGGAGCGAACGCAGGCTGCGCAGCTATCCCAGAAGCCAGAACAGCAAGAGGGATTGCTGCTTTCACTGCACAGCTCTTGCTGTTCTGGCTTCTGAGATTCAGAATATTTTTTTTCTTGTTTTCCTCCTCCAAAAACTAGGTGCGTCTTGTGGTCTGGTGCGTCTTATAGAGCGAAAAATACGGTACTTTGAAGATATGTCTGCTATCACAGATGCAGCTTGCCAGAATCTGCATAGCAGTATCTCTTAGATTGTTGCATGCTTCAGTCTCTCTTGAATAGTAGTCAAGGGAGATATATAGTGAAAGATACTATTCTTTTTTTGCTTTAAACTTTCCAGCCTACTTATTATAAAACTGTATTGCTGTTTGACTTAACAACTGTTACCTTCTTAAGTAGCTTTGTAAATAAGCCTGCAAAGTTTACAGGCCCAGAAAAATGTTTATTAGTCTGCCTGGGGGGCTAACAGATGATGCTTGCTGCATTTCTATGGAAGAAGAGCTTCCCTTCACTGGTAGCCCACTTGGTTTCCATACTGGGTGTAGAGGAGGCACAAAGCACTCCATCCCTCTTCTGCTAGCCCACTTACTCACTTGCATGCAGTTCCTTGTCACCTATGGCGAGCAGGTGAATGATTAAACACAGGGCTGCCATAAAGATTAAAGAAGCAATATGAGTGTTGGTGTTTCGTAGAATCATAGAACTGCAGAGTTGGAAGGGACCACGTGAGTCCAACCCCTTGCAATGCAGGAATATTTTGCCCAGTGTGGGGTTTTGTTCTTCAAGTCTTTCCTGCATGGATTTTATAATCCACAGAGAAAAACCGGAAGATGGGATATCTTGTGGCATGGTGGGTAGGTGGGTGACATCTTCCTAATAGCCTTGGCACCAAATTAAGACTGCAGCCTGATCCAAACTCAAGTTGCCATTATACAAATCTATGGTGCAACCGCCTTTGGAATACTGTGTGCATTTCTGGTCGCCTCTCCTCAAAAAGGATATTGTAGACTTGGAAAAGGTTCAGAAAAGATAAGCCGAAATGATCAAGAGGATGGAGCAAGGAAAGGTTGCAGCACCTGGGCCTTTTGAGTTTAGAGAAAAGGTAAGTAAGTGTTGACACGATAAAATATTCATATGGTTAAGTGCAAGTAGATAAATAGGTACCGCTCCGGCGGGAAGGTAAACAGCATTTCCGTGCGCTGCTCTGGTTTGCCAGCATGCTGGCCACATGACCCGGAAGCTGTACACCGGCTCCCTTGGCCAGTAAAGCGAGAGGAGTGCCGCAACCCCAGAGTCGGCCACGACTGGACCTAATGGTCAGGGGTCCCTTTACCTTTACCTTTACAGGACCCCTGGACAGTTAAGTCCAGTCAAAGGCGACTATGGGGTTGCGGTGCTCATCTCACTTTCAGGCCAAGGGACCCGGCGTTTGTCTGCAGACAGCTTTCCAGGCCATGTGGCCAGCATGACTAAACTGCTTCTGGCACAACGGAACACCATGAGGGAAACCAGAGCGCATGGATACGCTGTTTACCTTCCCATCACAGCGGTACCTATTTATCTACTTGCACTGGCATGCTTTCAAACTGCTAGGTTGGCAGAAGCTGGGACAGAGCAACTGGAGCTCACCACATCGTGGGGATTCGAACCGCCGACCTTCTGATCGGCAAGCCCAAGAGACTCAGTGGTTTAGACCACAGCACCACCTGTGTCCCCTCATATGATTATGTATGGGTGGCATGGAGAAAGTGAATAGAGATGGGTTTTGCTCTCATAACACTGAAACACATGAACATCCAACGAAGCTGAATACTGGAAGATTCAGGACATGTAAAAGAAAGACTTTCTTCACACGGTGCATAATTAAACACTGGAACTCACTCCCACAGGAGGAAGTCATGGCCCACTAACTTGCAGAGCTTTAAAAGAAATTCTCGGAAGATCAGGCTATCAATGGCTTCGCTTAGCCTTCAGGGTCAGAGGCAATAATGCCTCTCAATACCAGTCGCTGGAAACCAAAGGAGGGGAGAGTGCTCTTGTGCTTGGATCTTGCTTGCAGGTTTTCTGCAGGCATCGGGGAGAAGTTCCATTCATACTGATTTTCTCACCATGCAATCATCTGCATGCGTAAGTCCCATGGTTGTCAGTGACGTTTACTCCCAGAAGCATGCACAGGATTGCAGCCTTAAGTATCCAAACACATAAGGATCGGATCACACCAAGTACCCATAGTCCTTGCCAATTTGCCAGCTTTAAAATGTAGAGGTTCTCGGGTGGCCTGAAAGATTTTACAAAATCCCAGCCTTAACCTCTATGCTTGGGTAATACACCTTCGTGTAAATAAAGGGAGGAGCCCAACTCCATTCAAGTTAAGGGGAACCTTGTAGTTGATTTTCATGAAAAATTGTGCAACTGTTTGCCCCGGACGCAGAGGTTGACGCAGAAATGAGTTTCTGCACATAGATTCTGTTTTAAAGGCTGTGCAACAGGCTGTGCGTAGAGCAGGGAAAGCAGATACCAATCATGAAATCCACGTGGGGGGAAAACATTTGAAAGGAAAGCGATTTTTAATGGTCCTTGGGAGGCGTTCCAGCATATATTATGAGGAACCACTTTCCTCCCCTCCTAATCAGGTTTCTGTTCATCTTGGGTTGATAGCCTGTTTTATATAGCACTTGTTAGGTTTAATTATGAATAAATGCATATAAATATCATTTATGTGCATGCAATTATATACAATATCTATAGCTTTCTGTGTGGAATATGTTACAAGCTCTTGCTGGTATCTGTAATTAGTGAAGAGCTTCCGTGATACAGTCTAGCAGGTTAACTGTTAGGGAATTCGCTTAAGCTTGATACTGTTTCACAGTCAACTTATACTGCAGTATCTTAATAAGACTAAATGGGTCTTGCTTCCTCTGTTTATCACTCTCGTAGGCAAACAGGGTTTGATGCACAGGGTAAGAGCCTCTTGAAGCAAGATTCTGGAGCATCTAGGTGGGCAGGTGCTTTTCAGCAACCTCAGTTTGGTCATTGTCATATTTTAAATAGGCTCTCGTTCTCCCAAGGCTGCTTTAATGGTCCAATTTTGCTAGAGTCTGGTTTGTTGTGCTGTCTAAACCTAGATTCATGGTTTGTTTGGGAGAAACAAGCCTGGCTTTGCATGGCAACGACAAGCCAGACTCTGTTTTGTTTTATCTATGGTGCAGCAAGAGCATTTGAGCAGTGTCTACCACCAGGCTGGTAGTTGAAATTAAACCATGGTTTGTTTAAAACTATGGTTTAATGTAATGTGCGAACCATGCCATTGTTTCACCACTGTGGTTCTGTACAATAGAACCGGTCTTAAATCTTTTATAGATCATTTTGGTGGCTTTGTTAATTTACAATCCTGAGGTGTATTCATGCAGTTATTTTCTTTGTAACTTAACATTGGTACATCAAAATGTGTATTGCATCATTAGTTATACCAGCAAACAAAAATCTTTCATTCTCTTGTTGCTTTAGCTTGTTGGTGTACTGGTGCCCTTTCCTGCATTTTCTTTCATCTCAGTCGGTTATTCATTTTTACTGGTACTAATTGTTACAAGGTCTCTCTCACACATAAGTGCAACCTTCCACGAGTAGGGCCTCAGAGGGCTTTTAAAAAATATATTATTTTATATAATAGTTGCCCAAAGTATGCACATATGCACACTCTCATGGAGGAGATTTCTTAAAATGAGATTGTGAATTAGCTAGTGCAAATAAGCTCTCTAGCTCCTGCCTTTACGGAATTGGTAAAGTGTCAATGGGCAAATTTGCACAAGAGCAGCTTTGAGGCATTCCAGTGATAATTGGGAAGAGTATTTGTCCTCACAGAGGGGATGGGGGTTGTCGTTTTAAATGAAGTACTAGCTTTTGAACAAAACCCAAGCAAGTAGGGCACTAAATACAGTCACAGGTTAAACACCCTGCTCAACTTGTACTAAATTAAACTGTTCAAACATCTAGTGTTAACATTTAGCAGGTGAATTATTTTGCCACTAGAGGGTGCTATAATGCAGCTTGGAAAGTATCATTTATAAAGGGTCTTTTTTTGACCTCAAGGTAGCTAGACTTCATAATCTGTGACCTCTTGTATGTAAAAAAAAATATTAAAAAAAATTCAAAGCTCCCCGCTCCTCCTAGATGCTGGTTTGGAAAAATAATTGAGTAGTGTTGATTTTGGAAACTTGGTGAGAAATTCGCCTTTCGAACTTAACTCATCTGGAATGGTTGATCATGATGTGGAAGCAGACTTTTGTAGCTGAATGAACGTAGTCGTGTGGACTTGACTTTACAGAGTAAAATGCATACCGCACTTGGGTCTGTACCCACCCGTCTCCTTGGGAGATCTCCAGAAGGCTAAAAGATGGGATGTTAATACAATCTGTGCTACATCAATAAGTTCCTTTCAATTATACAGAAGCAATCAGCCATTCTATCTGGCTGCACCTGAGGGGCAGGTAACACTGCAAGGTCCATTAGGTTGGCTCGGCTGGGACCAACTACCATTCGCCTCCTCCCTCCATTGATGAAACCGTCAACTCCAGCAGCCCTCCCTTCTTGTCATTATTATTATGTGGCATTTTGTAAGGAACCAGAAAACAAATAATGTGTAGGATACATTCAAAACTTGTCCTAATAAATAAAACTACATTACAAAGTTGAAGAGATGGCAAACTGGATCTTTTAAATGGAGGATAAAAAAGAAATTTGCTTTAGAAGACACTGAACAGAGGACTTTTCTTTCTTGAATCTGTTTTTTCTCACAGGGTAGACTTCTTTATACCTGGAGTTGCTGTAGTTGGTGGATTCTCAATATGTTCAAGTCCCGGTCTGCTGCAGCAAGAGGGAGTTTTGGAACTAGCAGTGAAGCAAACCACACACCCTCCTGCTCATTGGGTTCACACTCAGGTATTTATAAGCTACTTAGTGCTGTTAGTTGTCCTCATTTTTTAGTGTTGTTTTAAAAATTATTCCACTGTTTCAACTATTATAACTTCCCTTGAGATCTTCAGGTGAATGACACTGTACAACAATCTTTTAATAGTCTGTCCAGACTAGTATTCAAGTCAAATTTCATTTCAGTTTTGTACCTCCTTGTCACGGGCTGCAGTGGGAGCTTTAAGTTCTCCTACAAAGGTTTCTCCTCCTTCAAAGGATAGGTGTAGTTTCTCTACAAAAGCATTTCCTTTTCCTTGAATTGAAAGCTTTACCTTTTTAACGCAACCCACTTTTCAAAACTAAATTTGTGCAATTGCACACACAGTTCTCCTTCCTTTGTGCATCTGGTCCAGTATCCTGGGAGTGAGGAGCCTTGGGACTGGTTTGTGAAATAGCCACCTTTAGCTTTTGTTAAAGCAAATTGGCAGGTGACCAAGGCACACAAACGTGACACAGATTTGCAAATAGTAAAAGTGCAATTCTGAAGGGGGAAAATTGGGAGAGAGAGAGTTTGGATTTGATATCCCGCTTTATCACTACCCGAAGGAGTCTCAAAGCGGCTAACATTCTCCTTTCCCTTCCTCCCGCACAACAAACACTCTGTGAGGTGAGTGAGGCTGAGAGATTTCAAAGAAGTGTGACTAGCCCAAGGTCACCCAGCAGCTGCATGTGGAGAGGCGGAGACGCGAACCCGGTTCACCAGATTACGAGTCTACCGCTCTTAACCACTACACCAGTGTTTCCCAACCTTGGGCCTCCAGCTGTTTTTGGACTACAACTCCCATCATCCCTAGCTAGCAAGACCAGTGGTCAGGGATGATGGGAATTGTAGTTCAAAAACAGCTGGAGGCCCAAGGTTGGGAAACACTGCACTAGACTACACTGGCTTGGGACACCTGCCAGGAGAAAGGGCAGCTATAGGCTTCTGACCTGTTTATAAGCTTGTATCTGTTTTATCTGCTGCAGCATGGAAATACCAGAAAGTAAAGTGACTGGTGTCAAGACATGTGGACTCCTGTCGAACACAAGTCTCTTTAACAGAGCAAATACAAAGGTCTGCTGTGGTGATCTGGAGCTACACTTAACTGTGGTTATGTTTGTTTAGTTATATCATACTTGAAACATCTCTAGGCTGCTAATCGGGGCAAGCAAGGCATCTTTCATAAAAGCACGCTTCAAGAAAATGCCATTTTTTTTATTTGGGGCCTTACTTCTGTTCTGTTGGGAGTCAAGAGAAATATGCTTCTCTCTCGCTGACATTGTATTTGTTGACTAACATTTCAGTGTAAAATCAATGCCGTCTGATCACTTGAGCAAAAAGCATCCCCGAGTGAGCCCTAATCCATCGGGTACCATGTGACCATAAAAAGTGCTCCTACTGTTCTTAAATAGGTTAGTTTCATGCGCCATTGGAATTTCAATAAAATAACTCACTTTGAAAGATGTTCTGGAGAAGTATAGAGCCAGTGTTACTGGACCACACATGCTAATACAAATCCTTGTGGAGATTTCCTATTGATTTCCCTGTTGCTCATTAGGGACCTCTCAGAACCTAACTTCATAATTATCTGCCTCTGAGGCATCTCTTAGGAGTTTTCCTTCCTTCCTTCCTTTCCCTACTTTAATTTTTTAAATTAAATTCATAGTGGCACAGCACTGAAAGCAGTTAAAGGCATTAGCTAGTTCTGGGGAGAGCATGTCAAGACACTGGGATTAATGGTGATCTAGAATTGCTGATTATTATTCAAGGTTTTTTATTATTAAAAAAATCTATGTTGTATCAATTTGTAGCTTTTAAACTGGGCATCTGTATCCCTAAAATGAACACTGTCATCTGAAGAGATTGCAAGCCTATGCCTCTTAAGAAAAATGTGGAATGATTATAGAGCCAATGCAACTAATCTTAGATATTTCCATTGCATATGATTCTTTGGTACGTTTTTCTTAAATTATGTAGTGAATTGTGAGATCTAAACAATAAGTGGTTTTGAATCTCTTAGTAGCAGTATCTATCATCTATATCTATCATCTATCTATCGTTTTATTATGCTTTTTATTGTTAACTTTTTGGGATATTTTAATTTGTTTTAAGGGATGTATACTGTGCATTTGAAAATAGCTATAAAAAGAGTGGCTGGACTGGTTTAGAAATCATTGAATTGTAGACAAGGCCTAGTTTGCATGTCTAATGGGCTCGTGTCTTAATCCGAGCAAATTTTATTGTGTATGCAGATAAATATATAACTATAAATTTCAAAGTACTTTTTTAATGCAAGATGCAGAAGGGCACAGTACTGTTCAGTTTTATTCCCCTTTCTGTGTGCAAGTAGAACACGTTTAGCCTCACTGATTCTCTGGGAGTGTTTCCGCTTCTGATGTTTTATTGGGTGGGGAACCTTGGCATCTTAACCCCTGTGTGCAGAGTTCTAGTCCTGCAACAGGGCTTTTCTCCCCATCCCCATATGCAGTGTCCAGAATCCCTGAAAATGCAAGGGGACTTTGCAGAATGGTGTGGGTTGCAGAAGAGGTGGAAATTTATTTGCTGATGCAGGGGATGGCTCCCCAATTTCTGCTTCCACTTGTGCTATGCCTATTGAATCCCAACCACTTCAGTGCTTGAGTCCAACATGACAATATTAAATTTTCTTTTGACTTCTCTCACTTACAGTAGTTAGAAAATGTTAACTTTTTAAACAAGACGTTCAACAAATTTTTGGCCATATCTTTAAAAACATCTTTCATATAGTTCATCTGTTTTCGCCCCAATGAGGTCATTCCACATAGTGCTTACTTAAAGACGTGACCCAAGTTGACCTGCACTGTGTCAGTCCAGATTTTACTCCGCATAATTTGATTTTCCCTGGAAAGGGTGTGTGCACTTTTTTATTCCAAATCCACTCCTGTGTGTCTGTGACTGGTAACCCTTTTTGGCTACCATGTCGCCATAACAGCTGCAAAGATTGATTGATATGATTGTAAGCTAAACACTGAAATGAATGCAGGCTTGCTTGTTATGTTTTTTGGGAGAGCACGGACAGCATTTCCTTTTAAAAACCCATTACCACTGCAGAATAATTTCTTCCCACTCTAACATTCCTCTTGGGAGCATTCATCTAAAAATACAGCTGCTCAACTCCTGGGACTTTCGAATCCCTTGCGGTCCCAAGTTCTCTGAACATCACACTCCTTTGTTTTAAGCCAGTATCGTGGAATCGGAGGAAGAATGTAACCATATATCGTTATCACTTGGAGCAATCTGCCAAATGACATTCTTAACTTTGGAGAATGTGTGTATTAGAATAATCTAACTTTTTCTTCAACCGGGAGGCATGTAGGAGTGACTTTTTGGATACTACTCTGTCTGATTTACTTTCAAGCCCTTAAATCTCTCTCTCTCTCTCTCTCTCTCTCTCTCTCTCTCTCTCTCTCTTTTCTCCCTTAGTGTACACTTGGCTCAGAGGTGGCCTTGCGAGTGGGAGGCAACTTCTTCTTTGATCCTCAACCTGCCGACGCCCCTGCAAACCTCGTGCTCGTAGCTGGCGGAGTCGGAATTAACCCCTTGTTTTCTATACTGCTCCATGTCGCAGACCTTCAAAGAACTCGAGAGAACAAAGGATCTGGCTACAAAATGGGAACGGCAAATCTGTTCTATTGTGCAAAAAACACTCACGAGTTGCTCTTTAGGGTAGGTGGCATTATATAATGGTGATGGTTATGAGCATTTGTACCCTGCTGTTCAGCCAAAAGGCTCCCAGAGCAGCTTGCAATCAATTAAAACAAGATAGCCCCTACCTGCAGGCTTACAAACTAAAAAAGAAAAACAGCACACAAGGGAAAGGGACAGGAAGGAAAGAGACGTACATTCATAACACACAAATATATATATCCATTATTTGCTTTACCCCAAGATTTGCTTGGGTTAGCTCTGAGACTGAATGGGTAGAGATGAGCAGAGAGAGGGGCATCCTTTGCTGAGGTAGCTGGTCTCTGCTGCCTACTCCTCCCTTGGCAGAAGTGGTCATAGTCTGCCACTCCTCAGTCAACGCAGCTGTCAGGGAACTGCCATCAGCTCAGAGGCGAGAAATAGAAGGGCAGTTGTGTTACAGGGAGCCTCCGAAAATCTTGCGAAGCAGTTCCTCTTCCGGGGAGGAGGAAAGCCTCACCTCCAGTGGGGAAGAGGTGCAAGGACCAGAGGATGCTGGTGGGAGCCTTAACACCGCTCCTGGGCAAGCCGGACAGGAGGGAAACACGCCCTTGCCATCCCCATCCTGTGCAGTAGTCTAAGAGGGAAGGGGGTAACGAAACTCTTATGTTGGGGGAGGTCCAAAAGACGACCACTCCCGGATTCTGCTAGCGATTGAGCCAGACATGAGCTTTGGGGCTTTTCACTGTAAATAGTTTGCACCAAAATAAAGCCTGTAAAAGACAGGTTGGAGTCCTGCCTGGTTACTCTTGAGCAACCGCAACAGCCATCTGATAGCAGCCATTGGAGTATGAAGGCCAGACAAGGGAGGCCACTCCAGACATGAGCTGCTGCTGCTCCTCTAGCTGACCTTCAGACCTTCGCTCCGGAGGCAGTGGCCTGTGGAGAGGTTGAACAGAGTCTGGGAGGGGCGTTTCTTCCCCACTGGGCATGAGAAGTCATGTTCTCCTGCCAAGGTTTCCATCTTCCTTTTTCATCCCTGCTGCCAGGTCACATGTTTGTGTTTCCTCCCTCCGCATCTGCAACTGCGCTAAGGAGGAGAAACGTTCACGAGAGTGGGGCAGAAAAAGAGTGGCCATCTCCCAAAAGCTTATTTGTATGTCTGGACGGCATTGTAGGAAGTATTCCCCAGCTCTCTTGGGCAGTAGGAGATGAGAAAGTTCCATTATCCTTTGCTTGAACAGAGTGCTGTGTTCTTACACTCGTCTTCAAATCTGTGGGGTTGGGATTAAGCATCTGCTTTGATTTATCGGGCTGTGGCTTGAGCAAATATCATTCGCATTCCAGAAACATATCCTTGGTTTGACGAACACATTTCCTGGAAGAATCACATGCAGTTTCCATGTTACCAAGCAGAGTTCACCAATCTGTGAAAATCTTCAGCCTTACATCAAGGGTATGTACTGTACATTAAAAGTATTCACTGCATTGTGAGTTAGCATTAAGGGGACATAACTCAATTTGATTCTCTGGCTGCCTTTTCATGTACATAATTCTGGTCCGAGACTTAATAAGGAGTCTCTGTAATCCCTGTTGTATTTCCACAAAAGTAATTCCCATTGTTGTCAATGGGCTTTCTCCCAGGCAAGCTTACATGGGATTGCAACCTAAATGAGACTATTGTACCCAAAGTTGGACAGCTTCTCTGCTACATTCAGTGATCTTGTGTCTCCTAATTCTCATTTACCATTTCCCCCCGACAACTTTATATTTTTCTTGGTAGTAATTAACTTGATCTTGTTTCACTTATGCCACAGCTTGAAAATTTTGGCCTCTTCCTCGGGTTTACTGTTAAGGAGAACAGACCTTTGTCTTAAACAATAAATCTAGTAAGGACTGCAGTAAATTTGTTGTAAACTGCCCCACGTAGCTGAAACAGACCCAGCTGTTGAATAATGGTGGTTACTTCTTTTGAGTTATTAAATAGCTTCATAATTTCCCTTATTTCTTGTGTTCTGTATTAGAAGGAAGAATATCTGCAGATGATCTAGAAAAACACATATCCACGGATACTTTGTGGTATATCTGTGGTCCACCTGCAATGATTGAATCCATCTCCAAAGTGCTAGCAAACCTTGGTGTGACTCAAGATAAAATTTTCTTTGAAAAGTGGTGGTAGCATGCAGCAGTTCTTCAGCGGAAGTTAAAAAGAAAGAAAATGAAACGCGTGCGCGCACACACACAGACACACACACATATATATACCGTATTTTTCGCACCATTGGACGCACCGGAGCAAAGGACGCACCTAGTTTTTAGAGGAGGAAAACAAGTAAAAAAAATATTCTGAATCAAATGTTGTATAAACTACTGTATTTAATAAACAACCAGTATATCAGAATCATATTACAGCCATGTAAAGTGAACAGCAGTCAACAATGGCATTAAGAACCATCATCACTGTCATTAACAAATGAAGAGAGACTTTAAAGTTTGAGTACTCTTCTAGTCTTCTGTGAACCCCAAGAACTCATGACTGCTAGAGTCAGAATTTGTGGAGCTCAGTTGCTCACAATCACTGACATCACTTTCTTCGCTATCTTCATGTAAAATACCATCTTCGTTAACATCCAAAGCATTGCTAATGCCACATTTTTTGAATGACCGGACAACGATTTCCTCCTTCACCGAGTGCCATGATGTTTTCACCCATTCACAAACTTGAGTGATAGTGGGCCTCTTCATTCGTCCAGTGGGTGTTAGATCATGATTACCAGCAGCCATCCATTTGTTCCACTCTTCTTGCATAAAGATCTTAAATGGCTTGTTGATGGAAACATCGAGAGGTTGCAACTGGCTGGTAAGACCTCCAGGAATTACAGCTAGATGAGTCTTCACTTCTTTAAAGCACTTTTTTGTAGTTTCGCTAATATGTGCTCTAAACTGGTCAAGTACTAATAAGGCAGGTTTTTTCAAAAGCCCTCCAGGACGTTTGGACCACACTTTTTCAACCCATACTCTCATTCCATTTTCGTCCATCCATCCTTTCTCATGAACATGTACAACAACTCCTCGTGGAATCACTTCTTTTGGAAATGTTTTCCTTTTGAAAATTAACATGGGTGGCAATTTGGTGCCATCTGCACAGCAAGACAAGACAACAGTGTAATGGGTTTTCTCATGTCCAGAGGTTTTCACGGCGATAGTTTTGGCACCTTTCAGATCAACCATCCTATTAGATGGCACATCAAAGGTTAGTGGGACTTCATCCATATTCCCAATCTGGCCAATTTCAAATCCATTTCTCTTCCTAGCATCAATTACAAATTTATGAAAAGACAGAATCTTAGATTCATATTCTTCTGGCATTTTTTGTGCAGTTCTAGTTTTAGTGTGCATAGCAAGGCCACATCGCTTCATAAATCTGTAGCACCATGATGGTGAGCCAGTAAAATCGTGAATGCCTTTCTCTAAAGCAATGCGTTTGGCTTCATATATTATCATTTTTGTAGAGACTGCGAAGGTTGCAAGCAGCCTCTCCGCTGCGCACTGACCGCCCTGAGCTCCTCCAACTCAATGGGGAATCCCAGGGCTTCCCCAGCCAGCCCCCTAGAGCGGCTCATGGGACGGAGGTCAAGTTGCAAGCAGCCTCTCCGCTGCGCACTGACCGCCCTGAGCTTGTAGCACTGATTGGGGAATCCCAGGGCTTCCCCCAGCCGCCCACGCAGCCTCTCAGCTGCTTGTCGGGCTGAATAGGGAAGCCCGGGGTTTCCCCAGCCGCCCACGCAGCCTCTCCGCTGCAACCTGAGCTTGGAGGGGCTGGAGGGGGAAGTCCCAGGACCACACATTCGCTCCATAGGACACACAGACTTTCCCCCTTAGTTTTTAAAGGAAAAAATGTGCGTCCAATGGTGTGAAAAATACGGTATATACATATACTATAATATATACACACTGATGAATGCTGAGAGTTTGCAGAGAATGTTCTTTTCCCTTTGCCCCAATGAGATCTTTATCTATGAAATTATGTTAACTTATTATAAACCTGGCCAACCTATCTTTACAAAATGTACTGTGTTTATTTTTGTATCATGACAAACTGGTGTGTGAGAGAGTGAACTGTAACCTCTAAAAATAAATAATATATTTCCTTACACGTTTTCTGAACTTTTTATTATAACTATAATGTTTGGGACAAGAAAGGACAGATGTGGGCTGAAGGCCAAGGGGAGACTCAGGCATATCGAGAGAGAACTGCACACAGGGGTAAGATCTACCTCTGACAGAGGGCTATTTATTCCCCTCTTTCTTTTTTCTTTCCCTTTTTCTTTTGTTGTTTTTTTTTAAATGATTATTTAGTTTTTTTATGGTATCATATGCTGAAATTTTCAATAATATTTTTTTTAACTGCAAACACTGTGAAGTTTTGCTGCTTGTTTCCTCTCTTGACTGCTGAAGAGACAAGCCCGCTGTCTGCTTTAAAAATGGCTTGTCTTCTCAGCAGCATTGAAATAAGCAAAACTTTGGCTGCCCATTCCAGGTATTGCATGCTACTTCTTCAGTGACCTCTTAAAGCCATGGCCTTAACTCATGGGAGTTTATTACAAGCAGCACAGGGGGTAGCGGTGAAAATACAGCTGTTGTACATTTATGTGTGCCAACAGTGTGCGAAGAACAACTCATGGAATCGAGCGTACTCAGATCCCGGATTCTGTGCTCGTGAAATGGCCATTCTTGTGAAAAGTCTTCAGCAGTGTACCATCATAATGGAGAAGAGCATAAGAAAACCCATTACTTGGAAGGAAAATCCATTGATTTGTGTGGGATTTGCTTCCAGCTGAGATGTTCAGGACTAAGTAACCTGGGCAAACAGGTCTGCATGCTAAGCTACCTAAGACTATCGTATCCTTATGACACTATATAAACCAAGGGGAAAGCAGCTAATTTAAAGGCTGCTGTGTCACTTCATATCCATGGTAATTAGGAACTAATTATGTAAAATGCCTTGAGGCTACCAAAGGTGTTAAACTGATACCATGATTTGGATTATAATGCTTAAGCATAAGCCTAATTACCTTGATGAGTTTTCTGTTTCCTCTGTGTAGAATGCTATATGTCAGCGTACTACCTTTCCATGAAATGGAAGGGAACTTCTGCCTGTTGCCTGCTGTTCAGCTTTGGTGGAAAGGGGACTTTTTAAAACAGAGTTACAATCTCTGTTTGTTGGCTTTTGCTGCTTTGACAGGCTCCTGCAGCCCATCCGGCATTCAGTTGCCCCTTCACAGACACCGTGCCAGGAACTCTCCCCGGCCAACACACTATCAGCATGAGTTTGAAGTGGCCTATCTTACTTGTGCATTACACTAAAAGAACAGCCCTGGTCATTTGACTAGTGAGTTTGCCTGGTATGTACCACCTCAACAAAAAGGAGGTAGGCTCACTAGTGCCCATTTGTGCTCCATATATTTAGATTGAATGCCTGGAGGCTTATTCTCTTATGGAACTCCCTGTCACAAGGTTTCATAGCCACTAGCTTAAATGACTTCAAAAGGGTATTCAGAAAATTTACAGATGATCTATCTATGGTTATTAGTCATAATAACCTCCAGATTTGGAGAGTCATATGTCATTGTACACCATTATATACCTACCTCTGGACTTTACTGAGGCTTTTGCTTGGCCAGTGGGGGGAAGTGGATTTGATGGAGCTTTGGTCTAATTTGTTGGGTGGTCTTATTTTTTATACATTTGGTTACAAAATGTTAGTGGCCTTTCTTGGTGTAGCTAGTTCTCGTTAAGTGCTGGAAACTGATTATTTATCCCATTTAGTTTGAAAATGTTAGAGATTCTGTGAGCGCAGACTACTAAACTTACATTTGTTTGTAATGTCAGATTTTAATATTTTTAAAAGTCCATCTGCTATGTCCTGATTTTCTTCCTTATGTTACTCCTGTTAATCACTTGTGTTTCTTCAAGTCATTTGGAATGACTAATATACTTGTCGTAGGTGAAATGAATGAGATGCCAACTGGTCAGAGCAATTCACACAGTATGATTATCACAGATAGTCCCACATAAGCCTTCTATAAATGATGACTTCGGGAAGGGAGAAGTGAACTTTTGGCATGGATTGTGGCAGCTGCTAAAGTATTAAATCGTTAAGAAATCTGACTACTGTATATCTTTATGGTATAAACATCTCTGGAATTTAGTTATTGCAGGGGGAAAATGACACCCAAGTTACGGGTCTCTAAGGAACAGGAAGATCCTGATAATTTCCATTCATTATGGTGGGTTTTTATATAATATAGTTTAGTTTCAGGTTTACAGATCTCTCTCTCCCTGTGTCACCTAAATAAATATGGCTGTCATGATTTTAGATGGTTATTATTTAATATGTTTAGGTTTTGTATACCCTGCCTTTAGTTGGCTATATTATTGAATTTTTGTTACTGTTTAGTTGTCAATATGGTTCCATAATAGCTAATTTTAAAACAGGGTGGGTGCAAGGACAATTGAGATATCTTCTGGAATATGTTTTGTGTAACATGTCCAGCACTGCGAACACAGCCAAGGAATTGTTCTGTAGTGATGGATGTCTGATCAGAACCTTCTTCCCCAAACAAAAAAGGAATCTACACATTAGCTGCATGCAAGCCTTGTCTGGACGCTTTGCGTAATATTCACAGACGTGTCCCATTCTTTAATGTTGACCAGTCAGTCTGATCAACTTGCAGGAACTCATGGGAAGGAGGCTGTACATTGTGCCAAATTCTTTTGAGTATTGTGGTTATTTCAATTCTCTAGAGTTCACCAGTCAGAATGGAAACTTAATGGGGCTGATGGCAATTATTCCAGGCACTTCAAGTTGGGTTAGATTCTAGTAACAGACCCTTTGTACGCCAAACAGTGCTGATGACTAATTTATAGCATGCAATTTATGAACATTTTTTTAAAAATCAGACTTGAGGGTGTTGTTAAAAAAAAAAAAAGTCTGCTCAAACCACCCAGCAAGAACCAGTTTAAAAACATTGGGCAAACTCATGACCTCCATGTTCCAGAAGTTCCTACCTCTTTTGGATCTAAAAAGCACATTGCAATATGAAAGAATTGCATGGAATTCTGAAGTAAATTTTCAGTTCCCTCCTCCCCGCCCCCCCCCTTTTTTACTTATACATTGCACCATTCCTTAGCTGCTGGCAGATTTAAGTGGCAGTACTTGCTCTCCACTGCTAGGCTGTGGAAAGAGAATTTATTCTGATAGCATTAGCTCTCCTTGATTTCCAATGAGCCAG